TCTTCTTTATGCACCAAGAGCTTGTAACACTCCAAAGAGAAAGGAAAAATTGAAATTGCATCATATGACCACTTTAAATTAAATTAAATATTCTGTGTTTGAGTAGGTCAGTGGTTCCCAAACTTTTTCTGCCGGGCCTGCCTTTTGTAGATAAAAATATTTTCAAGGCCCCCTCTTTTTTGGAAAGTCTCTTATGCTCACCAAGGCTACATTTATTTATTTTAAAAAAGTAAACACTGTAATATTGTGAAATTTTGTCAATTTAAATGAGCTATTTGAATGTTTTAACACACAGGCTACTGTATTCCTGTGATCAAAGCTGAATTTTCAGCATCATTACTCCAGTCTTCAGTGTCACATGATCCTTCAGAAATCATTCTAATATGCTGATTTGCTGCTCAGTAACCATTTCTGATTATTGTCAATGTTGTAAACATTTGTGCTGCTTCATATTTTTGAGGAAACTATTTTTTCACGATTCTCTTATGAATATTTAAAATGGTCCTTTATGTCAGAGCGTTGGAGTTTGTCAGAAATAGAAAGCGGCATCAGTTTACTGTCATGGATTTGTCGTGTCGTGTCGCTCCGCATCCACAGCAGAGAACATCACTGGGTTCTATTTGCTTTTGTCAAATCGTGCCGCTCACACCTTGTTTTGGTATTTGTGAATCTTAAGTATATTCATAATCTGCTTTACGTTTACCTGGCACTGGAAGTCCTTTCTCAAACTTGTAACTTACATGCTTAGAGCAGAACCATCCTTTCTCAAACTTGTAACTTTCATGCTTAGAGCAGAACCATGCATCCTTCATTTATATTTCTGCATGACTCCCTGCAATACAGCTCTGATTCTTCAATTGCGCCATCTAGTGGTCTGTTATTGATACAACCACAACTGCTACAACTGATAACGGAGCGCTCAAGTGGGTACTGCGAGCCATGTTGAGGTCATTAAAATATGTCAAATTAATATTTTGCGTTCAATTATTTACTTATCAGGCAAGTGGAGGCATGATAAGCAAGAAAATTACACAGTGTAGTAGGGCTGCACAATTAATCGAATTTCTAATTGCGATTACAATTATGGATGCCACAATTAGGTAATCGTTCAAAGCGGCAATTAATCGTTCAAAGTCCACTTATGTTATTCTGCGTGCTTAAGATGCTATTTTTTTCTTTCTACATGTTATCTTAAGGGGTTTTCCCATTATTTTAATTTTAGTTTTAGTATAACATTATAATACTATTCATATTTGTATTTTTTTTTATAATTTAAAGAAGAAACCAATCCGATGTATAGTTGACATTTGAGGCTTAATACTATAGAAAAGCACAAAGTTTTTCAGTTAGAGTGTTTTCAGCTTGTTTATTTTCATATAAAAATACAGCATGCAGTTGCATCAAACAATGGTATAAACATCATTCAATGTAAATTGTGATAATCGTAATTAAT